GTATACAATAAAATAATTACAGTAGCATTAGGGATACTGGATCGCTATCAGGCAGAGAACTATAGAAACACAATACAAACAATATACTCTTTACATCGTCTACCGTTTCCCTCTTTGAAAAATAAACCCTATTATCGTTTTCTTCTCATATAGATTACTCCTACTGCTCAGCTAAGTAGACAACCGGATTTTAGTACGCTCAAATGTTAAACGGTTAATGTTCTTATACAACAAATATATACATACGTTTCATCTCAAGGATCAATACAGATACTTTTAATTAGGTGGATGTGTTTTTGTTTGAGGACGCTATTTACGTTGGTACTTTACAGAAGGAACTATATGACCGTCTGAATAATTAATTGTTGTGTCTGTCATGGTTGTTAACACACAATTACCAAAAAGAATGGGTTATCAAGACAACTGGGCTTCGCTGATGGTATAATTAAACAGTCAGTGATGTATTGCAAATCATTTTGAACTTAACACGTATAATTTGGATACTTTGCCCCCGAAACAGACAAAAAAGACAAATGTAAAAGAACAAATTACAATGTAGCTAACGATGTCGACATTCCATATCAATATTGATCAGCAAGGAAGAGTTCGTTTAGCAGGTTTTTCACGGAAACAATGAGTCGGTACTAACGACAGTATGAAACGTTATCATGTTACAAAAGCCCGAATATACTCAAGAAAAACAAAATACCTACATATATTGCTATGTCTTTATTAGTATCTTATAATGTAACCGTTATTTTATGTGTTTTGGCATTTTACAGAAATCAGAATAGGTCCTAAATACTGTGTACACGGTATATACACTGAAACGAAAAACTTCGGATGTTCACAGGTCCAGTGCTTTTGTAAATGTGTGCCATCGCAATTCATACACACCTTGGGTGGAGACACATTTGAAAGATATATCATTCCTACAAACTTCACCTGTTGAGCTGTGAGGTATCGTAATTGGAATTTCTTTCCAATGAATTTGATTCAAATCGATTCACATTTACACTTTTAATAAGCTTGCAGATTTTCCAAGACGCCAGACAAAAAGATGTTTCGGTTATCTTCCGAAAGAGATACCTTTTGACGAACAATTAAAAATAGTCCTGAGAATTATTTGAAACCCTTATTCAATTCACTTGGTGAATATAGATTCAGGTATATAGTCGACAATATGGACCTACCTTGGTATGAACTACAACAATTACTGCTGCTTTAAAGTCTCTTTGATGGGGACATTTATTACAAGAAGAGCCTGTCCGTTTCCGGGCTTACTTTCAAAACCAGTACCACCTTCAGAATATTATTATCTAAATCAAGAATATGCTCTTCAATCAATGGCGCAGGTATATGACTTTCCACTGTTTAACTCACCCGAATTTCAAGTGAGCCGGATACTTGATTGTTTTATTATTTTCATCTCCTTTGAATGTCATATGGGCCAGATGCTTTACTCTTTTTTTCACCTGAATAGCAAGTGGGACAGATACTTGACTGTTCGTTATTTTCATCTGATAATAATATCAACTTTGCCTGTCCTTGCCGCAGTGAGTAGTCAAGAGATAATAGATATTCATAATATCACATAACGCCTCTGCATGTAAAGCTTCATAAATTACTTTTCACCAGTAATAGCATCCACGGATTTTCATGTGGTCCTGATACTATTTTCTAACAGTCCTTGTTAATTTAATATTGGTCTTTAACTCAAACAACATTTGTCCTTTATCCTTTTCCTATTTTGCAATCAACCCTTCTTGAACTCTGTCTTTTGACTTTGCAATAATCTATTTATGTGTAATTTCTCATAAACTGCCAGAATCAGAAACCTTCATTTTGACGTACGCACATTTGACTACACACCCAGGTGAACTTCAATACTATTATTATTTTTTTCTTTTGTCGTAAGACGTTTCCCTTACGGTTGGATGGTGGTTGACATAGCGTTAAGAGGCAGATGGACATACTACATCAGAAATACCTTCACTAAGGAAGCTCCAATAGTTTATGATCCTATAAAACACCCACATTAGAACGTCAGTCACAATCCTAGCCAGTGGATTGAACAATTTGACAAGCTTTCACAATGTGATGTTTACGTGTCACGCTTTTGGCTTTATGTGAATGTTGTATCTTAAGCCTAAACGATAATAAAGTTCACAAGTGCGTTTCATGGAGACTCGATGTAATATATTTATGACGAAAGCCGTTTTGTGAAATGAAAAGCCCTTCAGATCAGATGTGTTCTGTTTGATTCATTAATATATCATGGCTGAGAAACCGGTTGAGATTTACATAGTTTTTAACAGTATTTCAGTTTATATTATATTATTGCAGCAATATCAGATAAATATGCAAGCCGAGTGAGAGTCATGACCGTCAACCACTGGTAAGCAGGAATTGAGCGATAACAAAGTATCCAAAGATCATTGTCAATAGAATCTGGGATCGAACCCTCGGCACGGCTGAGGGATGACACCATGCAGTGCTAATTCCGACACCTTTGACGACTGGCCAACCCTACTCATGCTCTTTAGAATAACCGAAAAAAGAGAAACATGTCAAATATAAGAAATATGTGCGACGATATATATTTTAACAGTTCGGTACATATTCAACTAAAGGCAGCAATTTGTCATATATCCTTATATACACTCGCAAATAACGATTTTAATAAGCAATTTTCCCTCTGGACTCGGAGTGTCCAATACAATTATGTAGTAGTGGTGTCAGCGAACTTTGGTATGTAACAATAGCCTCTGTGCATACAATTCCAGATCCGCAGCAGTGAATATTAACCATTAAAGAGGTTCAGTGAGATGCCATTCACTGCTTTGCGGTAGGCGATGGCCATTCGTCCCTTTGTATCATTGCTAATATCGATACTTCCTTTGGTGTGAAGTTTCATTGTCTCTATTCTGATGTTAAGGTGAATGGTCTGTCCGCGGCATGTTACGGTCCTTAATTAGTACATTGAGGTGAACTGAGTTTTAACTAGATTAGTACTAATGAATGGTACACTGTAAATTCACGTCTGTATATGGCTGTGTGCACGACTCCCAATCAAAGCGGGTTGCGTAGTTGCACAGTTTGATATGGATACTCCACTCAGACAGATTATACAGACTCCGAGCCAACCAGTGTGTGTTCTTCCTTCATGTCGAGTGGAAGGCAATCGAAGGCAAACAACATGGTATTAAACGGTTCCCCCGAAAATCTATTAGTGATATAGCAGTCTTCCAGGAATTATACATTTGTGTCTGAGAGCACTGCCCCTCTTCATCACCAATACACTTCCAATGCCAGTACAGAGCCCAAAATCAGGCGACTACTGATACCACATTTCCACAACGCATATTATTACAGAAAGGTTGCGCAGTGTGCTTGTTGCAGACACTAAACATATGGCCCATACGCCATTCTCTAATAAACGGGGCTCTTATTTCCAAGAAATAGACTCGGAAATGTCATGGAAAATAGTAGATTATCATTATATACATATACTGATATTCCTGTTACTGAATTCAGATGAGCATTTTGTGGGTTTTCTCTCTTTCTGAGCTACGAACATTGTCAAAGCATTGTCACTCTCAATAGCACGCTTCAAGTTGTCGCTGTGTCTTCACAAAAATGCACAGTGTTTTCAATTTATAATTTATAACTTTCAATAATGATTTATATATATATTATGATGGTTTAGAGAATTTCTTCCTCATTTAACTGTGTACTTCAAAAGCTGCCCAAATCAGTTTGAAGACAGAAAGCATAATTGTAATTCAGATGATGAAGACAATAATAATGAAAGATTTTCTATACACGAGCTGCATTCTTTCTTTGTCCTAAGTTCACGATTCTGCTGGCGGTGCTGATGGTACACATCTGAAACATTTTATACTTGATGAAACGTGGAATTAATATCTAAGCTGCTGCGATGAAACATTGATAGCCCCGGTCATGAATAATAGAAGAACAAATGCTGTACAGTAGTAATCTTACTGCCTGTATTAGAATGGATAGCGTAGCAGTTGGGATTTCATCACAGTAGCATGTGCTATCTGTTTATTTATCACACAAACAAAATAACAAATTGTACAATCATAGGTTACTTCTGAACATGCTACGAATCTCTGGTAAAAATTTAATCATTTTGTACACTTCATGGGACGTTTACGTCTTGATTTCATGATTTAATTTAACTGTTTGCATACCGCTCATTCAATTAACAGGACACGTATTTATATCTGGATACCCAACAGAAGGTACATATTGTTTAAATCGGACGCGAATATGAAGTTTCAAAGCTGATCTGGAAGAAATGACGATTTCAATAAAGAAGCAAAACCCAATACGATATCATTATCTATAATGGTTCATATGGGAAATATAGTATGCGAGAGAGACGCCCCCTACTTCCTGAATGAATGATCATGTATACCAGCACACATGTATACCCTTAGGGTGATAACCTCAGGCAGAACCTTTGAGGCGAAAAGAATGATCAGTTTACATCATTAACGTTAAGGTGTGTTGCTTACCTGGAAGTGACCAGCCCAAGGTAATTTAAAGCAATCACATATAGTCCACCAATTGTATATATATAGTAGAAGGTAAAAGTATTCTATCATCTCTTATTTTCACCTGCTGTTAAGACACAGATACGTGTTAACACCAAACTGTAAGTACCATTTCAAGGTTTGCCTGTGGTAAACATATATACTTTGAAGTTTTCATTCTTCTGCTGCACTCCTCTCCTTTTTCAACTTTCACATTGATCCAATTCATCGAAGTACGAATAAGTAAAGAATATTTAGTTGTGAGGAATATATACCGTTCTTGTAAATTCGGAAATGTGCACATAAAATGCATATGAAACCAAAATGACAACATCAGTCATTGTGAGTGTCGTGAAGTAAATTCTCCAGACCAGTAACGATAACATGTTGTTTCCTTGTCTTGAAGATGGTTTTCGTGTTACTGAACAGATACTCAAAATGATGAAGATAGTCGCCGTCCTTGTTGCCTGCCTGGCTGTTACCGCCTTTGCTAAGCCAACCGGTCTGTATGGAGCATATGGAATGGCCGGGATGTATGGAGGAATGGGCGGAATGGGCGGAATAGGCTACGGAATAGGTGGCATGCACGGAGGTCTTTACGGAGGCTATGGCGGTCTGTACGGAGGAATGGGCGGTCTATACGGAGGCAAATACGGATACGGCATGAGTGGTCTGTATGGAGGACTTGGAGGCTATGGTGGTCTCTACGGAATGGGAGGATACGGAATCGGACTAGGAAAAGGTATTTCGCAACACATGCTGTCACTTTTTTCATCCATTATGCCATTTTAAGCCTATAGTCACTTTTACAAAATGATACCATGTACCCATGTATGTATTTGTATTTTTTTCCTAATAAGCAGATAATAAATGCATTTAAAACTGTTGTCAGCTATTTCAAATATAGTTTATCGTGCAAGCAGTTTCAACAGTTCCATGTTATTTTTCAATAAATCCCAAGTTTATATGTAACTATTTTTCTGTTTCAGGAATTGGCTACTACTAAGCTACGGTAACTTGCAGTGTGAAGATGACGGCATATATTGTATGCATATGACAATACAATTAGTTCAATAAAACCTGAAATATAAACGAAGCTGAATTCGTCCATTTATCTGGCTTCAAGTCTCATATACCATCCGTGCTGCCACGAAGGGTTTTGATGACGTCCGATAATACTAATAGATATAAAAATTATCGGACACTGGGTTAAGCTCTGGGATATGACTGTGTCAAGTTTTCCTAAGAAATGTTATAGCATGATGTTTTTGTTTGACAGTACCGACAAATGAAATTGGGTAACAAGTGTTAGATTTTTACTATATCATTCTTTTTTTAGTGATGAATTTTTATCACAAAAGATTGCTTAATCAAAGTCATTATAGAATGCCGTATCGCAAAGATTAAAGGATATGTACATTCAGACCTGGAATTCATCTTTAATACAATCGCTCAATCCACATATACATGTACTTTTAAATCTGTTTTACATAGTGAGGAATACGTCCATGTTATTAATCCCAGAACATTTTGGGCTTCATTATCCAGATGTGCATGTTCTTCACAGGATCTTATGAACGAGAAGGGCAGATAATATGATAGTCCAAGAGAAAATAGATTGTGTAAATTTTGTACATTAAATGTTATTGAAGATGAGTACCACTTTTTGTACGACCTTACTACACTGATTTAAGGACAAAATATCCACTGCAGTATTACCACACATATCCTACATGTAATACATATCAATTTATTTGTTAATGAACACAAATATCACAAGTATCATTCGCAAACTATTATATGTATGTTTATCCACCATGCTTTTGTATATAGAATAAAAACGTCTGCAACATTGTGATTGTATGTCATTTTTTGTTGTGTGGCTTTGTATTTAGGGACTGGGGCCTCTTCAGTACTCGAATAAAAGAGGAAGAATAGATATTCAAGTTTTATAAAACATTCCCGTTCGGCGTACTGCATCATCAAACCGCCTCAGTGAAATGCATGTCTATAGCCATGCTTGCGATAAGATGCTGGGGTGTTGAGTATGTATACAATGAAAGGTGTTTCATGTTTAAATGTGTGATTTCAAGCAATCAAGGGGAACACTTGACAGCAATTGCAAAACGTAAACACAGCAACTTAGAATGAAGGACCAACTGATCCAAACACTTCACGTCCAACGCCCATCAAAGGGTGTATATTTACCAGACACGCACACTTGGTGATGACTGGAATATCACTGGAGAACATTTAATTGAACATTTCCAGTATCATGTCAGAACACAGAAGTTAAAGGGTAGCTATTTATGTCAAATAGTAGATTATATGCAAAATAGGATGAGCCAAACCAAGCTCACTCACTCAACGTACGTCATAATGTGTCGATCTGTGTGAAGGACATGGTTCCACGCCTGGATGAATGCAACGGGCGCAATTGTGTGGACAAACAGATATTTTATTTAAGTCTCACCTCATGTAAGAGTACAGATATATACACTTCATATACATATAATGAGCCACCCGTTAAGGGTTATGAGAGATTATATTTAAGGTATATTACATCTATCTATATAACTCTTGCACTGACACAGCATTTACCTGATACAAGGGCAAGAAACGTAGTGTAAAGAATAAAAATAAATTGTTATCCATAAAACGTGTCATATATTCCTTATTTTATCCGTAGTCACTTCCTTCCAAGAGAATACATCATTTTATTTTTATGTCTCTCTTTCTGTAATCATCTGAAGAGACGAAATCGCCATAGGTTACCTGGAAAGGCCTTCCTCGTATAATGTCTTGTTTGTAATGCAAAATTGAAACACAAGGCCATCAACACAGATTGAAATACGTGGAAATGTGTCAATCATTTTGTGTATTCGGAGAAATTGAGTATTAATTGCGGTCAACACATTCGGTTCAATTGCGCATAGTGAGGAATGCTTATTTTACTAGTTTATGGAGGAACCAAACTTTCATATATCCAGTTGGAATTGCGTGATAGCACTAGATTTAGCATATTTTTTTATCATGTGTCATGTTTATTGAAATGATCTTGTCGCTTGTATTATTTCAATCAATAATAAAATATGGTCACAAGGTTCATGCCAAAGGCAGGAATAAACAAACCAGAAGAGATTTACGTTTTGGGGTTTAACCATTGTTAAAGTTTTGTTTGATCGCCAAACAAATACATACATATACCTTTAAGACATTAAAGTTTTTAATTATCTTTGTTTTTCTACTATATCATCAAAACTGTTTACATGTTTAATGTGTGCATTTACCTCTATTCTTCTATTTACCTATACCATATTCCGCTGGTGGTGAGTTCGAATCCAGACGACCTGTGGCATTTGGAAACATCCGGTCCTCACAAGAACTTGATTTTTTTCGTTGGAGACGGATTGTTGGCAGAAGACGCTTCATGACCTACTGTTATTTTCCTCGGCAAAGGGGATGCAAACACGTGTTATTTTGCAGCAGCCTTCACATCCATCTGTCATGTTAAAGATGTCACAATGGTTGAAATGGGGTGGATTTCTAATGGGTCTATTGGGATACAGGGGAGTGATCATGGTAATTTGTCAGATATCCATCACACTTGATTGCATGGGCGTGTTAGGTCCAATCACCTCACTATTTATCTGTCGAAATCAAGATGTAATCTATAAGTGATTACTCGTCTCCTGGTGATCACCTTGTCACGTATGATCCGTTGCATATGACGGTTAAATGAGGGACTAATTGGCAGGCAGATATGACCTCACTTATAAAAATACATATGTCAGGTTACAGGAAGGATATCATCATCTTGATTGTACGTGATATCTGACGGCGAAAGGATATATGTAACTGACCTTGAGGTGACCACATGTATCACATGTGCTTTGTTGTAGGTGTAGTCCTCAAGCTGCCAGACATGCTCATCCATCCGAGGACTCTCCACCCCTAACGTTGGTTAACTTCAATTGCCTCACTCTGATGCTCGATGGGTCCAACTTTGTTCACGCCTATTCAGAAAGTTCTTAGTTAATCTGGATTCGTCAGGAAACGAGACCATCGGGAGTTCCCCTCCACGTTGAAATCTGAAAACACCATTGATGTGTCGCTGAAATGTGTTAACAGCGGTACAAAGCGTGGTCGCAGTAGATGCACGTTAGCTGTATGTTGGTTCTCCCCGGTAGCCTGGGTGAAGAAAACAGATATTTGGTTGCCTGTTTCGCCTTGATTTCGTAAAGTCTGGTTTCTGATCGGTCAATCCTGGACTTTTGTTGCTGACCAAGGCGTCATTTGCAGGGCCCTTTTATACTTTCTATGCCTTCAGAAACCTTTCTCAAAGTATGAAAATCACAGACTGAGACACTTTGAACATACACTTGTTATTGGTTACCTCTTGCTGAAGCACGGCTATAACCCTCGTTCATGACGTTGTAATTGACACTTTCCTAATTTGATCACTCATTCTGCATTGTATCGAGGGTAGAGAGATAATGAATTTGCAATGCTAATGGCTAATGATTTTACCTTTCACATCAGTGTCAAAATCAAGAATGTACTCCGAACCCCGAGGAATTGCAAAGCCCACATGTAATGTTGCGGGTGTTTTAATTGGTTAGATTTGGGTTCCGAAATATTCTGGTAGTCATCTTTAGAAGCTAATCTTTCGGACGAATAATCATTGTAATTTTTCTTATTGATCCCCTACTTCCTGTTTGAGAATATATCTCCATTAAGGTAATTCATCAGTTTCAAAACGTAGTGTTATGTGAGTGTAGAAACAACTGAAGGTATTGTTCAAGGTGATCGATTATCCAACCCGAGGTTCTATACTAATGTTCTTTTAGAAAATAATTACCTTCCATGCAGTAAATAGACACTGATGATTTCTTGCGCTGACGTTTTGAATTGACGCGATCTGATTTCAGCTCTGATCTTGAATTGAAGTTGTTTCAACTGGAATTTTATCATAAATATCGTTGCAGTTTTCAGTTATGCTTAGTCAAAGGCAAGGAAATGCTTGTTTCCAGACACAAAGTTCCTTCAGCACCTACTTCCTTGCAAGAGGAACATATTTCTTCAGTTAGACTGTATGCCTGTAAGCTTCAGAATCTCGGCTTATGTGTATGCAGCAGAATAAATTTATAGTTAGCATATACATTCTTTTAATAGGAACATATGTGTTCTTCTAATATTTGGTTAAATTTCGTAACAATTGCCAACACGTGAAAGGATTTTGTAAATCCATCTGGTGTCCATGCAAGTGGATAAAGTCTCTACAGTCCTTAGTAAGGTGATCTAAATTCAGTTCCTGACGAAATATAAACCGTTTTTGAATTGCATCGTTCTGTATTGTGATATAATTATGTTCTCTAATACCCAAGAACAACGTAGAGTTTGTAAGCAATGAATACACCTCTGAGACTTTTAAAAGATGGAGCAGTCCCCGTAAACCACATTATTCTAAGTGCCTGACCTAACATGCAGAACATATTCTTACAAAAGAATACCCAACAAAAAATCAATTGGAACTCTGATTTAGCATTACAAAGTAGCCCTGATCTTAAATTATTATTCACGAAAATGTATATATTGCTCTTGTGAAATTGGTTAATGTAAAGCTTTTACCGCCGTAGTTTTTAGATTGCTACGCTTAGAATGCAGATCAACATTCAGTGGTACGCCAAGTAAATAAAGTATGCCTGTCAGAAGGAAATGGCAAAGGTTCATTTATGGCTTCCCCCGCGTACTGCCGTCGAATAAAAACATATTCAACCTGTCAACGCCAGCCTCAATCCTCCTTATAAATATAATCAGGGCCGTAATTAACTGGAGGAAGTATAATGTGAGTAGAAAGCCATTATATTCGATGATAGTTATGGGAATGTCTTTATTGAAGATATACCCCATGGAATAACAGAGTGTTACCAGGACTGATGGGTAACAGGATTGTTGTCGACCTAGTACAGACGAACATACTCCCACAATCGTAATCTAGTGATATCGTAAGAAAAAAACCCAACGTTATTTCCCCCCCCAAAAAATCACTAATATTGCTGCAGTAATTA